AGCAAATGAGCTCTGTGATTATAAGGGTGGTGGTTTTCACGGTGCACTGAGCATACACTGCTTTGCATGCTGAGGATTTGGCCTTAAATAATTTCACACTTGCTGCAGTTGGAGAAGAGGGAGGGGGAAATGTCAGGAGTTTTACTTACTGTGATTCTGAATTTTACGTCTCTCTTTTTAGAATTATCTCTTCAGATGCTAAGTATTATGATTCACTGTGCCAGATTGTGTTTGCTGCTTCATAGCAGTAAGATCGATAGGAGAATTTTATCCCGTGATTCATTAACAGAATCAGTTTAAAATTGAGGTTTGTGGGAAATCTGTTGGGACCAAATAGCAAAACATGTGCACATACAGAAACAACATTATCTTAAACATTGTCTGCCTCTTTGGTCTTTACAGAATTTACGAGTCTGTGTACTTGACAAAAATGGGAAGTAGATGTCATTTGGATTAGCTATCTTCACAGTTTGTATTGCATGTATGTTTGCGTGGTACTACCAATAGAGCTGTTTATCTCTGGCAGTTCTGAAGAATTCCTAAAAGACACACTGAATAGCAAAAAAACCCTATTTGTTAGAAAAGGTTGATGGTATTTTGGTTTTAACCTTCCCTGTGCTAGGTATGCAAATATATGTGCTATGTGGTTTTTTTTATTTGGACTCATAAATTCTTACGCATTACATTTCTTCCTCCATCATAGAGGATGCCTATTTTTGCTGCTACATCTTATTCTCATTTAGAAGTATGGTATTTTGAAAATCTCATTTTGGAAGGTTAATGCAGGTACCGGAATAGCACAGACAGATACTTTTTCCTCATATTCAGCTGGACATGGAAGTACTTTCAAGGACAGACCTTGTTCAGCTGCAAGAACTTTCATTAATAAACGAAAATGGACTCCCTCACCCAAGCCACCTACCACTCTCTATTTTCCCAACATCTTCACCTGCTACCCACCCCTGGCATAGCTGCACCATGTACCTACTCATCTTTTTACACTGTTTTTTTTTGGTGGTTTGGTTTTATTTTTTGGGAGGGTGGGGGGTGGAGCGGGGATAGGGGTGAGGTGGGGTGGTTTTTTTTTTTTTTTCCCCTCCTCCTTTAAATGCCAACTACATTCCAGTTTGGTTGTTACAAAAATTTGCTTTAATCTGACCCAGATTCAATGTCATGGATAGTGCAATGAACATCTTTCAGAGACCACACTATGAAATGAAGTGGTCAACAAGGACTCCACCAAGGGAAAAACTCCCAGGAGTCCCTGCAGCAGCTTCCCAAGGAAGTATTGGATATGTAATGTAGCTTCAGAGGAAAACATGCAAACCCTTGAAAGAACAAAGGTCCTGTAGGAAGCTGAGTAAAGTGCTATGCACTGCATGTTGCTACACCACCTACAAGTGCTCTCACAAGGAAAGACAACAGAATCTCAGTCAGTGTGAGCAAAGAGTCTGTCATTGTGGAAAATATCACTGAAAGGATTACGAATTGTTCACTGAATATGAGAGGAACAAAAATAATAGAGGATTGGGATGTTTTGATGTTTATTTTAACAATTCTTGAATAGAAAATACTACATAACAAGAAATGCTTATATTACTTAGAAAAACAGTTCCTTGGTTATTGAGCAGTGACTCACCTCACAGTAAGAGTTGTTTCATCTCTGAAGTCTCACAGAGACCAACATACAAAAGATGCATTCAAAAACCACTGTAAGCCAAAGTCTAAATATGAAGGAGGAAAAAAAAGTGTTATTTCTGATGATATAGGAAATATATTCTCTATTAACAATTGAAAAACTCTTTCAAATGAAGGATTAGATTATTCACTCACATGAAAGACTAAATCACCCACCAGCACACGTTTTCTGAAATTACCTGTGAAGCTGTCAGCAGGCAAAGTAAAATTGCTTTGAATATTAAGATATTAATTATAAGACACTATCCATCTGCTAAAATAACTACATAAACTGATATGGTCCTTTGTCTCCAGGAACCAGTATCAGCATCAGGCAAGACATGATGTTGAGCACATTTACCCTCAGCTGGCCTTACCTGGAACAGTGGTGGCAGACCTAAGGACAGATAGTTAGACAGAAATCAGTTGAGTGCATAAACAGAACTGCTGCTCAGCCTCCACTCTTTGGATCAAAGTCTGGAAAGACCTGTGTTCATGTTGTGGTAAGTAGAGAACAGTCTGTATTGATGCATCCTGCATAGTACATGAGAAAACTGGAGCATAGTACAGAAGAAAATTCACATACCTGACAAGGTGACATGTGCCTGTCAGACTGATGTCTGAAGACTTCTGACAGACAAGTGTTTGGAGTGTGGGGGTGTTTTGTTTTCTTGGTTAGAGGTTTTGTTTGTTTGTTTTGTTTTGTTTTGTTTTGTTTTCTATATATCACAGGTTAGGAGCCCTAACGGGGAACTCAGTGTTCAAGAGACCTGTCTGATCTTGGGCAGATATGATACTTACATGAGATCCTTTCCTACTACACAGAATTGCCTTGATGACAGTTTTGTTCCTAAAATGCAACGACTGTTTTTGGTGAGGTCCAGGATCTGTTTTCCGTGTCAAAAGGTTCACCAAGTTTCTGCCACAGGAAATATGAAGCATTAATTTGGAGAAGAATGTAAGTCCACTGTGCAGCTGTGCAATGTCAGGAAGTTGTGGCTGATCACAGAATCACAGAATATGCCAAGTTTAAAGGGACCCACAATGATCATCGGGCCCTGCACAGGACTATCCCCAGGAGTCACACCATATGCCTAAGAGTATCATCCAAATTCTTCCTGCACTCTGTCAGGCTTGGTGCTGTGACCACTTTCCTGGGGAGCCTGCTGCAGTGCCTGACCACCCTCTGGATGAAGAACCTTTTTCTAATATGCAACTCATTCCCTCAGGTCCTGTCCCTGGTCACCACAGAGAGGAGGTGCAACCTAGGTGGGCAAACTGGTCATAAAAGGAAATCAGGTGCAACAAGCAGGACTTCCCTTTCATGAAGCTGTGCTGGCTATGACAGACGACTGCCTTGTCTTTCAGGTGTTTTTTCTAGTCAGCTGGGACCTCTCCCAGCTCTTTGAGGATTCTGGGGTGAATCCCATCAGGCCCCATAAATTTGTAGGGATCCAATTGGAGCAGCAGATGCCATCAGGAATTGGGACATTTGATGGATGACTGGATCAGCAGTGCCCAAAGCTATCTCATATGAGAGATGTAACCAATCTTTCCTATCTGACCCATGGGTCTTAGGAGTTTTTTGGACAAAGAGATTTAGGGTTTTTACAGTCTAAAAGATGTAAGGAGTGGATATAACCATATAAGCAATGATGATTCTAATAAAAAAATTATAATAAACCTTCACTGGTTTTTTAGAGTAACATTTTTATGGAGAGAAGTGAAGGAGAAAGCTTTTGTTAGAGAAATAATATACTGGAAAGAGAGGAACAAGTATGGTCAGCACATGCAGGGTCAGAGAAGGACATAAGCAGGGTCTATATGCTGGTTTTGTGGAAATGTTTTGTGGAAAGAATTAAACCACCTAAACTAGGTTAAAGGTGGATTCTTGACACTGAAGAGAGGACTTGGAGGTGTGTATGTAAGGAGAAGGATTTCATCCACAGAGATAAAATCTAATGCGGTAGATGAAAGACAGCCAGTGAAAGGATTTGAAGAGGAGTTTGAAGTTTTTAAGACAGCTGAAAATGTATTTAGTTTGGTTTAGGCAAATAGGTTTAAACAAGGGCAATTTTAAATAAATCCTTCTTCAAAAAAAAGTCAGCTATTTTTTCAGAATAGTCTCATCCTCCTTTGGTTGGAGAAAAAGGTATTGTATGACTTTTGCCAACTCTTTGTACTTTTCCTTATCCATTCCAGATTAAGAAAAGTCTTTGAAAGTTTATCATCCCAGTTGCATTATATATTTTATTTTTGATATGTTCAAAGAAATTCCAATAAAATAGGAAGCTGGCTGGTGGTAGCTAACTGCATCCTAACTTTATTCATAACCACAATGTTGATACCATATTCTATTTTTTAACTACATTGTGTAATAGAATTTCAATGTAAATTGCCTCATTTGCTCTACTAAATTATACATTAAAGTTGAATGTTAAGAACTTTAAAGATATTTTTGCATTTATTTTCCTGTCTGAACTGAAGGGTTGGCTTAAGAATATTTTTCAATTTATTTTCCTGCAGACAAGAGTCCTAATTAAATGCTGGAACACCAGACAATTCCACACATGCCTGTGATGAATTAGGCTCACTCTGAATCACCAGTTTTCCTTTTATTTCCTTCATACAGCTTGTACAGTTTGTGTTCCCCTACTTAGCAAGTTGTAGGCAAGATAATAATTTATGCTTTCCACTTCACTTTTAATTCATGATACTGTAGTTGATAAATATAAGTCAAAATGTCCATCTGATATATATCAAGTAAGGACAGGAAAATGTAAAGCATGCACAAACCATTCAAGAATAATGACTTTTGTGTGATTCCACTCTTATACTGCTACACTTTTTAAAACTTGATTTCTGCAGTGAAGGAGGGCTGCTCAACCCTGGAGGAGAGTACAGTGCTTGGAGCCACCACCTGTGTTCCCTGTCTCTTTCTGGTGTTTACTGCAACAGGCAAGAAACCATTGGAACAGATCAGTGAGCTAAAGCCTACACTGTGAGACCTGGAAGTGCTTTTGGGGTCAGGGTCCATGTTCCAATCACACACCAGGGCACGGCCCAGACCTGTCTCATCCTTATCACACTCTGCATCCAGAGAGAAAAGCTGGACATTTGGGCCAGATGGATGCAGTGGCCAGATTATCAGTCTTGAGGACCTGAATGAGGAATCTGTGTCTTAGAAACGAGCTCTCCCATGCCTTCTGAACCCTTTCCCCGGAGTAGGTGTGATGGTGCACACCATACAGCACGGAGCTACTCTCTCCAGGAAGACCTCTGTTTTAGTCCTGAATGGCTGCAGCTCAGTCATTCACCCTCTTGCCTGAATACAATCCACAGTGGGAAAAAGGAGTCAGGGCATGGCAGCAGGTCTTTGCCCCACATTTTGCATTTGAACGGAGTATGTTACGGATGGTTTGGAATCAGAACATCCATCTTGCTACTCCCACAGCTTTCAGGAAAAAGGAGCACCAGATCAGGACATCTGAGTAGTGGGAAAGCAGAGGTCAGTATCTCCTGTAACACTATCCTTAACAACATATTCCCTAATATAGATATAGATATAGATATAGATATAGATATAAACCCAAATAAAGTATCTTCTGCCTATCTCTTTCTTTGGATTTGCTGTAGGGCTAATAATTTGACACTAATTTGGCATTAAACCTCCTATATGAAGAATGGTCACAGAGAGAAGTTGGATGAAAAGCAGCAACCAGAATATTCATTAACAAGTAAAACTCAAGTATATGAAAATTCTGCAAGATTTCAAACCACACAAAACCTTTGGAGTGGATACCACACTTACAGTGCTGTTCCTTTGTTGATTAGGATGATGGCCTTGTACACAGAAAAAATGACTGGCACTAAACCTGGAAGTTGGTAATAATTATAGTAAAGCAGATGTTTTTATTTTTAATGTTGTACAGAAAGATATTTATGAGTTTTTTGCCGTTCAGTTGCTCGACTTAGTCTTTTGAATAAATTGCTTTTTGTTCCTTCTATGGTGCTTAATTTGTAGCAGTGGGATTTAGTTTTGTATTTAAATCAGTCCTTTTCCCATCTGTTATTTTATATAATGTTACTCAGTTTAATTTTGAATTTTTGGCATTTTCAGTTTAGGCCAAGGCTGCTATGGGTTTTAAATGAATTAGCAAAAGCAAACACAAAGAAATTCTTCAGAACCTGAATTAAATATCTGGATAAATGTTTATATCTTTGATTAAATGTTGTTCCTGTCTCTGCAATATATGATTTGTTTCCATTTAATTTTTACACAGAAAAGTTGTTTTATGCTTACCTTGGACTCTGTGAATGGAATGGATTCTTCAAACTGAAAAGACTGAAAATATATCCATCTCGAAGAAGATATCATATTGATCCTTAGTTTGGCTTATAGCACAGACTTCATTGGATTCCAAATCAGTATAATTTCATGCTGATGAATTAAAACAAAACCAACCAAAAAATAATTTATTCTTTCTGTCTGTTTTTTTTTTTTTTTTTTTCAGAGCAATTTTCATTTCACTGTTTACATACTTCCCCATGGAAGGTGAAGAAATTCAGTTGGCAAAATTTTAACTCTTACTTCTCTAAAAAGAAAGTGCATTCTTGAGGAACATATAGTTATCTTGAAGTACAGTGGAATCTGGCACTTAGCTTTAATTAATGCTGGACATTCAGCTTTCATTTTAATTATTAGCAGAGAAGTGAAAGCAGTGAATTTTCTTCCTGCAAAACCAATGATTTACTGGAAATAAAGCATCCCTTTCACATCTGCTATTGATGTTCTTCACTGGATGGGAGAAGAACTTGTCTTTTGCTTGGATTGCATGGTTTACCAATATATGAATAATGAAGTACAAAATAATTCTGCTGTATATAAAAGCAATGCAGCGCCTTGTGGAGCAGAAAATGAAGTGTACTTCTGTGCTCATGGAAGGAATCTGAACTCATGGCAGGAATTCTTTCCAGCTGCTTTGTTTTAGGTTCCTCTCAGGTAAGGCACTGGGATAAGGATTCACAAGAACTTCTCAAATGTGGTCTCACAGTAGTCAAACACCAAAACGGAGAATTGTCTAAGAGTAGGTGAATTTTCCTGAGTAGATATCAGCACAAGAATTGATTTCTAGCCTATGATACAACTTTGCAGTCTCACTGGCATGCGCAGCTTTCTACCTTGCAATCAGAACCACCATGTCTGATCAGTCTGGCATTGGGCAACCACCCCTACAAAGTTTCAGAATTCAGAGACTCACCTCTCCTCCCAAGTGTAAGTCTGGCAGATAGTGAAAAAAATCAACTCTGTGGAGAAAGACGACAAGTGACTATATACAGTTTCATTCTAAAGCTAAACAAGGCATATTACATTTCAGGAAGATAATGAAGCAGTGAAGGCTAGGAATAGAAAGTTAATAATAGTATTATTTTGGGCTTAATTAGACAAGAGAAAAACAGCAGGTAGGTTAAAGCGAATAACAACTATTTGAATATCTTGGGTTTTGTAAGTTCAAGTGGTAATCCTAATTAAATATGTCTTTTCTCACCTAAATGCCTAACAGTTTTAATGTCTCAGTGAATATAGGACCATCCCTTTCTCGTGGTAACAAAACTTTATGCATCATTTGTGGAAGGAAAGAGAATAATTAATTGCATGATTATATAGCTTTTATCACTACATGACTTGTATCAGATATGCTGAAAGCTCATTAACAGAGTGGAACAAAGTCTCCCTTTGAATTTTTTTCAGTCAGCCTGATAAGTATATAATTGCTGGAGATAAACAAAGATGGTACAGATTAAATCTGAAGTACCTTGAAATGAACGGGCTCTCAAAGACACTCCTGCCAGAGACACAGAAAAGAAAGAAGGTGAAGACAACAAAAACAATTTTTCTCTTCTGTTTCCTTACAAGCTCGTCGAGTGCAGCTCAGCTGAATTTGGGAAATTGATCTAGCAGGTGTGTTAAATTTTAAAATAATTGAAGTATCATTTAAGATTAAAGTGGGTTTTATTTTTACAGTGGTATGCAGAAATCCACAAGCATTTAGAAATTAAAATAGGATTGTGTCAGACTGAAATACATGGTAAGTTCTATTACAAACTCTAAGCAAAGCAGCCCTGATTTACTGCACTAGTTTACATCTCTGTGATGTAGTCCCTTTTTCCTGTGATGCTGTGACTGCATGAGAATAAGAAATGTTTGTAAAAACAAGTTTCAAATCTAGGCTAGGCTTTTGTTATTTTGCTGGTGAAGCTGTAAATATTCAAGATTAGCATTTGATTCAAATGCTAATCTACGGCATCTATAGGTGGGAAACTGTTTGTTTGATTTGAAAATTTAGTATTCCTTTGGAGAATTTCACATCATGTGTTTTCCTTTGTTGAGTCACAGTGAGATAAATTCATTATTCATTTATCAACCAGAGGAGCTTGAGGATATTTTCCTTGTAAGGATGATGGAAAAAAGGAAGCTGTACTTTCTGCAGACACCAGTTGTATTTGCTTATGAAAATTGGAGTTTAATGTTCTTCGTCAGAAAGTACCTTGAGTGGCTGGAAAACAAGTGTGAAGCAGCCACATTTCAAATTGATATATAAAGTGGAGATAGTCTCATTAAACCAGTCTTAACCTGTTCTTTCTCTTGTACATGAATAAAATAACTGAACAAAACTGTTCATCGTTTGCTCCCAACTTGTGGCAATTCTTTTGAACCTGGAGCACTTTTTTTGCTAAGCCCAACTCTATGGAAAAATTACATTTATAATTAGAAAAGTTACTATAGGGTGAAACATACAGTGGTTGGATTGACATCATAAGAAGAAAGGCAAGTTTCACTCTGTTTTCTGGAAGACTAAAAAACCCAGACCTTATCTCGGACTTTGCTATTACAGTTCAGAGAACTCTGCTGAGCCAGAATTCGTGGCTGTAATTTAGTTTCAGCCTTATGATCTCTAAAAATGAATTCAAATAATTTCCTCTGAAATACGGTTGTTCTGAACATGCCAAATATTGAGTTATGTTTATCAGTTTGGTGCTCTGTATCTAGGTTACTGTTCCCATGAAGCAGGCAAGACATAATTAAATTCCCACAACACAGAAATACTTGGTACTGTGACAAGCCTCCCTTACAGTGTTGTTGTGTGAGTTAAATATTGATGGGTTTACCTTCTTTTGTATCTCACCAACATCTCTTATTAGGCTCCTGAAAAATAATATAACTGATCGGAAAGGAGATCTGCTAATTCCTTTGCTCCTATGAAGGATTGTATTATTTCAATATTAGGCATATTTTTAAGGCTTCTTCAAATATAATAATTTGTATTTAGTAGCAAAGGAGATTAGGTTAGGACTAGAGGCCTGACTGTGCTAGGCACAGAACAAAATCTAAAGAAAATGGGGCTTGAAAAAAAGTGACTCATGCTTGAAATCTACAACAGCTGACAATGCATGATGTGCATGAGGAAGATAGAGGAGGAAGAAAAGGAGAAAAATTATACAAGAAAAAATGTTATCAGATCAGCCACCCAGCCAGGGCGTGCTTCTAGTGTAACTGTGGCTAATTGCCTTGTTAGCTTCTAGACATTGAAAAATTTTTAATAGGTAGTTAAAGGGGAAGAATGGCATAGATGTGTTTGTGCACACATCCAAGCAGCAAGTGAGAACCAGCAAGGAGAAAGGCATGAAAATGCTTTTACTGAAATGTAACAGGAGATGCTGGAAATGGTGGTCTTGTCAGGGGCTGGTCAGAGATAGCAGCCAGCATCAAATGAGGAATGTGAGGTTGGATGGGAACAAGATCTGAAAGGTTTTGTAGTAGAACAGGAGGACAAAGGAGACTATATTTGAAATAGTGCAGAGAGAAATTTGAACACAGGGTTAAAGGGTTTCAGTGAAACACCAGCAAATTGTATGTAAGGTCTTATCCTTACCTCTCCCGGTGAGCTGCACTGTGGTGGATCAAGAGGATGACAGAGTCATAGGACTCTTGGGAACCAAGAAAATCAACAAGCTTAAGAGTTCCCTTCTGCTGGGTGCACTTTACGTGGCAGAGTATGACGTGTGTGGAGAATCCATTTTAGAAAACCCATACAGACAACAGTGAGGCAGGACACCTCCAGCTTAAGGTGCAAGGAGCTGTGCATGAGCTTCACTATAGACCAAGCTCTACTTCAGGAACCACTTTGGCTCCACTCACAGGGGCTTCCTGCTAGAAGACAAGGCACCCTGACTGTATCCAGCTGTACTCCTATACGGACAAGGGACTGTACTCCAGGAGCTCTGCCCACAAAGAAGCATGTTGCTTTTTGTCTGTGTAGACAAGGGGATGGAAACGAGTTTAGATCTCTGCCTTTGGAGAAAGCCTGAGTGCAGGAACTAAGGACAGGGATACAGCTTACCCTTGCTGGCATTTATGGGCCAGGAACAGTGCCAAGGTCCCCACAGACACAGCTCCATCTTAAGCCCTCAGAATTTGTGGTGTTTACCTGCATAGGTACGTCATGCCAGAAGGCAGGTGGTGACTGTCCTATTAACTCCCTGCTAGGCCCAGCACCAGGTGTTCTCTTTGCCCTTAGCTGCATGGCAACACTTTAAAAATCCCTCTTCTCCCAGAAGCGCATGCCTGTCTGCTCATTTCCAGCCCTTTACTTTGTAAATGGTCGCTGGAAGAAAACTTTTTCCAATATTGCACAAATGGCTGCATGTTAGCCATTTATCCTCATTTTACCCTGTCACTCTCCCTAGCAACTCTACCTGCTACATAAGGTCAGAGGGTTACAGTGGTGATGTAGAGCTTGGCAAGGCTGGAAATGAGCTTTGGAAGAAAAGGCACTTGGTAATTTTTTCTTCCTTTTCATTAAAATAATAGGCTTTCTTTTCAAGATGCACGTTGATAGTTGTTTTTCTCCTGGTTTAGTACTGTGTTTTTAGGCTATGTGTTTTTGCTGACTTGCTAAGTCTACCATTTATTTCAAAAGAACAAATTTTCCTTCCCCTCAGTAAGACAGTGGATGATCAAGTGGAAGATAATTAAACTTCCTTGATGAAGGGACAACTCAAATTTTAAAACAAATTATTAAAAATTATTATGAAGAAACAAAATTATTGTATAAAAGATTCAATAAAATAGGTCAAATTATTATATGAATATTCATTCTAATTTTATCAATTGCAGAAGTCTGGAAATCTTAAAAATAAAATCTACACGTCAACATAGCATGTTTACATGATTTTACCAGTTCATATACGACTTATTACACTACTAATCCTTATGTGTGCTTACTCTTCCTACCTAATAAATACAGCATTAGCTGTTTTTCTTCAGAGGCAATTATCTTTCATAAGCAGGTCAGTTATCTTTCTTTCATAAGCAGGTCAATTATCTTTGCTATTATTAATTTTATCAGAAAGACAAAATTTACATACTAATATGGTTCTTTTGATCTTAAATTATTTGTAATTTTGCAGTTAAACAGTGAAGTCCTTAAGGAAACTGATTAGAGTTCAGTGCAAAGTATTGATGATCAGTTTCCTTGGAGCTTTAGTGGGTGTAATAGCACCAGGAAATGTTTCATAAATTGTCCCACAATATAGACCATTCATGTCTTCATCCCAAATGGATAGGCTGCTTGTCCTCTTTCTAATAATGATTTAAGAGTGATTACTACTACTATTATTATTATTATGGATCTATGCCCATATCCATATACCCAGAACTGCTACAACCTAACTATACGTAAAACCTTGTGACACAGACCTTTAACGATTTTTCTGCCTTGTCCAGCAAGTACTTAGAAGTGTTTCTTCTCTCTTTAGTGCGTTAAGAAGAGGCCTTAAAGCTTTAGTATCTGCCCTCAATTTTCAGAGCACCGCTAGATTGACACTGTTCTTCCAATGCACACCCCGTGACTACCTGGAGTGGAAGCTTGGTTATTAAAGATCATATTAAAACACTAATGTAATTGGGAAGAAGGCAGACTCATTTAGCTGCTAAGTTATCTTCTACTTACTGTCAGGTCTCAGCAATTGTAACATCACAGCTTCACTTTATGGCCTGTTGCACTGAATTTGGTGAGACCCGTGGAAATTCCTTTATCCTTGATTGTCTGGCCATTGCCTTTGTTTCAACTACAGACAGATTTAGTCACGTGCTATGTGTTTTTGTACACATGGTCAGGTGCCTTTGGGTATCTGGGTATGTCTGTAGGCTGTAGGCTGCAACACCCACCCGCTGGCAAAAGCAGATACAGGAAGCAGAGCCGGCACGGAGCAGAGCTGGGACAGATGGATGTCTGCCGGCCAAGGCTTATGGAACACAGACTGTCAGCTAGCTCCTGAAATCTGACTGCCCCAGTGAGTCCAGAAAGCCTGCCCTGAGCTGTATCTCTTCTGGAAATTTAAATTTTATTCTCCTGTATTTCCCAAAGCTACCAGGGACTTAACTACCTCTGGCTCTGCACAGCTCAGCCCTGAAAATACGACATTTTCCAACTTTCAGCTTTAGTGTGCCAATTTTCTGGTAATGCCCAAACTGAATTAGATGGCTTTATACCTCTGGGTAAGGCCTCCAAGAAAGTGTGATTCTAATGCTGTGGCAAATTTTTTAGTAGAGGAGACCATTCATAAGGAATTTTTACTAAGTAAAAATCCAGTATTATTACAGACACGGTATATTTATGGAGAACTATGACCCTGCAGTCAGGGGTCTTATTAGAATTATTCACTTTATTCCCAGTGCTGCTGTCACTGCTCAAACAAACAGCTCTGTCATCTTCAGACTTTAGTCTCTTGGATTTCTTGTTTATCATTTCTTCAAGTAAAAAAAGAAAAACAACACACATTTCTGAAACTTATGAATTAACTTATTGCTCAGATATTGTTTCTATCAGCCACTGAAGTTCTTCCATGAATTTAGGTGTAAATGCAGAGAAGAACCATCTCATATTTTTCCATACTTGTATCTTAGCTTTAACTGTTATTGACTTAGAACAGGAGGAAAAGCTTACATCAATGAGGTATACTGTGCAGAAATTTCCTTAGCTGCAAGAGTAGGGTACTTGTCTGTTTTCATTTTAATGACTAAACATTTGTAGAAGTATAACTTCATGTATCTTCATAGTATAAAATTTCTCTAACAAGAAACTACATTATAACTTTTTATTCCATTTCCATGCAGTTTGTTTTTAGCCTTTTATTCCTAGAAGCTCTAGGGGTGAACGAAAAAATAGGTGTAGATTCTTGGAACTGCCCCCCACAGTTTTTGCTGAGGTGACCCTAGGATTACATTAGAGTAGTAAAGGCAAAGAACTGAAAATCAACAGAAAAATTTGCAAGTTGGTTGTAATTTCCACCAGACAGTCAATTGGGAATTTATTTGGGTCCAAATCAGTAAACAGCACATAGCTGGTAAGCAGAGTGTGTTTGCAATAGAGAGCAGAGCCTCTCTTTCATTGCTCTGTTCAGCTCCCTTGCTGAAGCAGTGGGGCTGTCAGAATGCTGCGACTCAAGTGGCTTGACATTATTTGCACATCTTGCAGTATCTACAAGGCACCTTCTGGCAGCAGGATAAGCAGACCTCTCAAAAAGAGAAAACTGCTGACACAAGAGAGATGAACTGAAGAGTTGCACATGATCCTTTTCTGAGACTTCAGCATGTTTATTTTTTGTTTCCTTTTAGTAAGAACTTCATTCAAACTGAACCCATTTATTAATTTCTAACTCCCTGCCTTTTTCTCTCTGCCTTCATAAATTCCTCATGTGTCAGCTTCATTCCCAGTGCATCGGCTTTGAAATGCCTACTTTCACAGACCAAGGTTTGTGACTGGGTACTTGCTATGCCAGATTTTCATGTTGAAATTCAGGTTTTCAAAAAGGCTTTAACATAAACTTTAGGCCTGTAGAAGCAAGACTTCAAGCACCAGTGTTTGCTTAGAAATACTGCCATTCAAAATTCAATGGGAACATGTAAGTGTTTCTACTGTGCTTCTACTGTGTTTCTTCTGGTTTTACATACAAAATTCCACGTGTAAATGTTTAGGTCCAATAAGCAGAGGCCATTTTAGGTTTACCATGACTTGAAGTTTTGCTGTGAAAGGGCACTTACATTCACCAATTTAATGAAATGGCACTTTTCTGGAGAAAAGATCTGAAGCTTACCCTGACTCTCAGGTCAGCTATGGGTCACCAAAGTCATATTGTAGTGAGCAAGGCACACACTACCAGGTACTGTATAGCTGAGGGTATATTCAATGTAGCATGTAAAAGAATCCTTCCCTATTCAGCACATGCTGGACTCTTGGTGAAATAGAGTACCTGTTGCTGAATGTCCAGATTCCAAGAAACAGATGGCCAAGTTGTACAAAGCGTAGACAAGATCTCCGAGGAATCAGTGTCTTGGAGAGTATATTCTTGTCAGGAGTGACTGAATGGGGGGGAAAAGAGAGGAAAGGGTTGAGAACAATCTTTCAGTATATGAGGGGCTGCAGTAAATAGGAAAAGAAAAAGTGGGTTTTAATAATAGATTTTTGTCCTGTCTCTGATAAGGACAGAACAAAAAATGTTGGGCTTTAATTGCAGTGAAGAAGACTTGGCTTACACATTAAGCCTTTCTACTAGCAAGGATAGTGAAGCATAGGAGTATGTAGCCTGGTAGGGTGGAGGAATCCCCACCACGAGAAGTACTCAGCAAATAAACATGCAACAAATGGCCTAAGGATAGTAGATCCTGGCTTTGAGGCAGTGGGTGCATCTTCTATATTTGTGAGTCTGTAACCATCTCTCGAACTGTATAAGATGGTAGAAAAACAAGTGGGAGGGAGCCTAAAGGAATTAATTGTATTTTTCTGAATTGTACAATAATGATGACTTTCACAAAGAGCATATCAGACTGTATAATTTTTGCTTTCATTCCAAACTCATATCAAAGGGACAGGAATACTAGAATCATTACTTTGTTTTGATTTGCTCTGTGTTCCTCATACGCCGCTGCCTATTCCTGTCTGCATATATGTATATAATTAGGAACACGAAAAGAGGTACTTTTGTCTTCTTTCTGCTGTCTAAAAGGGATATAATACACACAGAATAATTAGGTAGTTTGGCTGCTGTACTATCTACAGAGTAGGACTCCTGCAGAGCAACAAGCTGTGGGATGTGGAAGAAATGCTGAGATTGGCTCAATTGGTTAGAGCCTGGTGCTAATGGCGTCAGCGTTGAGGGTTTAATCCCACTATGGCCCATTCACTTAGGGATTGGACTCGATGATCCTTATGGGTCTCTTTCACCTCAGAATATTCTGTGAATCTGTGATATTTCATGAAACTCAGTGACAAAGAGGTCTCTAGGAGAAGGAAGCCATTTGCTAGAGGAAGGCAGTGTTCTTAGTGACTGAATATTTAATTCTGTGTTAGATAAATCAAGGATGGTATTTGCTGCAATTAAAGAGTTGAACTAATTGCCACTGAACAGAGGAGGTTTTGAGAAAGAGCGTGGTGTTTTCACATGATATTTACTGCACCGTGTTTGAAGAAATGGTAGAAAAACAGTAACACAAAATGGTTCTGTTATATACTTTTAATGTCAGGCAAATCCTCTTGAATTCGAAGGGGGATTGCTATACCTAGAGGAGATGTCATGCATGCACTCGTCCAGCAGCCACATCCTTCACATTTTTACTTTCTTGCGTTACATGATCTGCTTCCTATCATCTCCAAACTGTAACAAAGGAGCCTTTCCCTTCCAACTCAATACCTCTCCTTCCTTTTTCTCTACCTGCTTTGGATGTGTCAGTTTGACCACCAAACTTTGCGCAGTTTTCAGCAAAGTCATTACATGCATGATCAAACAGACATAATATAGTAGTGTGAAAGGACACTCCAGTTGTATTATGAATTTGCCCATGCATACCTTCACACCTTTTTAGATGAAAAATGCTCACATCTCCTGTATGCCAGCAAATGAGGAAATGAAAAATATGCTGCAATGATGCTGACTGCACAAAAAAATGTATTAGAGAAAGAGTCATCCATCTTCAAAACTGTTTCTCTCTTGTTGGTTATTATTTGCCTGAAGGTAGCCAGTAGGGCAAGCAATAAATGCGTCCTCTTGTTTTCTTTCTTTAATACAGTGAATACCTCCTTTAATCCTTACACATAAGGACTTCTGAGGACCTTACACAAAGGAGAAAAAGGGAGTTCCTCCAGCACTTCAGGTTTAGATTGAAAGTGTGGTTTTAAAGCAAATTTCCTATCATCCCTATTTATTGCTTTGCATTGTAAAGATTTGGTCTTGATTTTCAAGACACACAGTCAAAAGCTGTACATAGGTTTAACCATGCACATGTTCATGGGTTCTCTATGTCAGCTTCAATTCTACTATTAAGGTGAAAGTAGCTGTCATCTTTAAAATCTATATATTATACTAATCTCATGAGTGGTTATCTGCATTTGTATTTTGATGGACATTAATTAATGTGTAATTTTTTTTGTGCCAAAAGCATATTTAAGTGAAAGTCTCTTTATGTAGGAAGGATAGAGGATGCTTCCTTTCATTGTATCATCTTTTCTGAATGCCCTGCAGATAGCTGAAGTGTAATGTCTCCATTTTCTAGTGTCTTACAATTACTAATTAAAGTACTGAACTTTGGTGAGAACCAGGAGAACAAGCCATGCTCACTTCTTGCTGCAAGTATGCATGCATTGACACATCCATACCAAGCATTTTTGAAGTTATTGCTGCTGCACATCTCAGTGTAACACTTCCTACAGGGGACTCTCTAGTTAACATACATTGGTTAACAAGTTGACTGGAAGGGAGATACCAAAATATAACCCAAGCCAGATAATCAGGTGGAGGGAAGGTTTTTCTGGGTTTGCCTGTGAAGATGTAGGAGGCCCTCAGCTGGCCCGTTAGCCTACTCTGAGCAAACTGGGATGTGCCACTATGGCCAGTTCTCAAGGTTTTGTTAGCAACCTCATGACCCATGTACACTTCTAACAAATTCTGCAGTCATGAAATTAACGACTCTCAGATTTCACTATAAGGAAGGAAATTTTCTAGTCCTCAGGGTCACAGGGGAAAATGGCTGAAGCCATGCAAAACATTAATCTGGAAACTCAAATCCAGGAGCACACAACATCTGTGTGGGTTTTGTTTTGTTTTGTTTTTAATTTTTTTTTAATTGAGGCAAAAATGAGATGTTTAAGAAATTATATGACCTGGAGATTTTTGAATGTTTAAGAAATTACATGGTGTGGGGATTTTTCTTCAACACTTGGGAAATCAAAGTTCTCTCAGTCACATTAATAACAATTTTTACCAATGAGCCACGCTGTGCCTCTTAAATAGTGAAAGACAGTCTTTGTTATGATGTTAGGTTTCTATTTTTAAATTTTTCAATGTATACAATAACTGTAGAAAAACGTATGCAATAATTGTAGACATAGATCTAAGGGGTGCATTCATACAGATGTTTAAAATTATATATGCAGATAATAGACAGTATATGTGCATAATTTAATGAAGGAAGCCAAGATAGTATTTTCCTGTCTTCCTCCTTTTTATAAGAAGGGCACAGTTGCCTGCCTTACATTATAAGCCTTAAATGATTTAGTAGAATAACAATTTTTAGTTGTTTCAAGTTCATTCATCTGCATAAAGTTGCCATTAAGCTGCAGAGAAGTTATCTTCATTAACACAGAACCAAAAATGCAGATTGTTATTTTAATGGAAACTAAAAATAACATGCCCTTCTGTGATACCCCTTCTTCCTTTCATACTAACATACTTTTCTTTAAATGACTGCATGTCCCAGTATGCTTTCATAAAGCTTTCAAAGGATCGTCTATTTTTCACATTCCATTTTGGCTCACTGAATTCATCTAAGGTTTAACAAGCATAAAGAAGTGATAGACAGCTGAATACTTGATACCTTTCTGACATAGCTGGGTGGGGATTATGCCACACAGATGACTTGATGACAGACTGCACCAAGTGGTGGGTTGCATGTCATGTCTATTTTTTAAGAGAAAAGAGAGCACTTTACAGCGAGCTGTCTGGCTTAGGGTAGAAGAAGCTTTTGTAATATGGTTTGACTGGCAGAATGTAAGAAGAAGGAAAGTAACTGCATTCAATAACTTGACTTAATTGCAAAAATATTAAGTTGGATTATGTTGGAGGCACCTGAGGAAGCATGTACAATGGAAGCTATTTAAATGAACATTTCCCCCAAAGCAACGTGTTTCTATTTTGTTCAAGACAAATTAGTTTGGCATGGTGCTTGGAGTATTCTACCTCTTTGTGATTAAAACAGTGTAGATTAGAGACTGGATATAAAAAGTTTGCTCTCTGCAGATTTTCTTGCTAGCAATTCTGTGTTTATCAAAGCTAAAGTTGTACTTAATATGCTGAAAACATCTTTCATAAACTTTAAAGTTCATGAAAACCCTAAGGGTTAGTAGTTTATGAACAGCATCTTTAGGGTCTAGATGTACTTTAGCCTTCAGAAATGGATGAATGTGAAAAATAGCATAATATCTATATTTCTGGCTGAAAAAAGTGAATTACTAACTCAAGTTCAAAAAAGCAGAAAAAACCTGGGAAACAAATGGCAGTTGGACCTCAGTTTTAAACAGTAAATGTACTGAAAAATGTATCATACGGAGAAAATAATTTACAAAAAGACTTAAATTTCTAAGAGAATGGCACTAACGCTGTATTTTTAAGTACAAAATTAAATCCCCTGTACCCTAAATCAGTACCACCTAGAATTTTGACATTGGAAAGCTGTAAAATTAGCCAAGAGCATGCAGTGCTGAGCTGATTATATGCTGGATTACTAGGGCCCAGAACTGTCTGCATCTGGAGCAAGATGTAGGTGTACTTAGTTGCCTCTCAGGACAGTGCCTGACCATTGAACTATTAGTTCGCTCTTAGGTGGACTGCAGTTTCTTTTGTCAAAGCTGTGCCACTTCTTTTAAGTTTATAAATGTTTGTTTGGCAGGTGAGCATCAAAATGACACTTTGATCCAATGGTTATCCTATTGACCATGAAGGCTTGGTCTAAATTCTTACTTTGGGAATATTTAAGTATTTTATGCAAAGTAGAGTAGCTTTAGTAGTGTTTTCTTAGTAGATGTAGAAAAGATTCACAGAGTTAGTTAATTAAGAAGCCAGTTCTTCCCCTCAGCAGTGTTGAGTGAAATTAAATCAAGATGAAATGAGGGTGCAATGGGAATTATCAACAGATTGCTACACTGGTCTAAACAATCCCCTTGGTGTGGGTGTAACCGACCTCTCCAGTAATTTACTGTAAGCCAGGAAACAAACAACTGAGTTTGGAAGACATAAAATGTTAGAAGAATCATAGGATATCCTGAGGATATCATCGAGTCCAACACCTGGGTCTCCACAGAACATCCCCAA